ACCAACCCCTCATCAGACAAAGGTCTGATCTCCAAAATATACATATATGATTAACTTCATTTATACAGGGCAGTTGAATCTGGTTTCTATCTCCAAGAGAAGCAAAGTGATTTCTGAATTCACTGTATTCCCTCTCCACAGATGATGCGAGTTTGAATGACAAAATTTCTTCTTTACTGGCGGTCTTGATTTAATGAAAAATTAGGTTCCATGTCAGCCTATCTGCAAAGCCTTACTAACTAGCCAACCTTTCCCACCGTACTTCCAGAATGCGGTCAACTCAAGGCTAACATCCTTGGACCCAAAATACGGAAAACCCTGCGTGAAGCATTCAAACCACAACAAAGAGATGTGGCGCTAGATCCTATCAAACATCTAGTACCTACGAGAGAGCCTCTCAACAGGAAGCTCTTGACACATAGTGCTTAATGTCGCCATTTACTTTACTTGGTTTGTTTGTGTGAATATGGAGTCAAGGGTTGCCAGACTTCTGAGAGAGATGGTGACAGATAATTTGAAAGCCTGAAGAAATTACAAACTTAAGAGTACATGAAAGCAATATAAAGCACAGAGACTGATTAGCAAAGTAAAAATGTGATTTCCTAAAAGCCTTGCAGAAAGCACTTCCTTCAAAACAGGAATGGAAGAAAGAAAATTTAAAACCTAGGAAAGGACTTTGGAAAAGTAAAATATGCAAGAAAATAATAATTAAGGAGAAATTTGGGAAGTTATGGTCAAAGGATTTAAAAAATAGGCAGGAACAAATTTAAATAGAGATAAAAAGATGCAATGGTAAAGATAGATCCTCCACTCTTCATCAGACAAGGAGAATGGAAGTTGTTCCCAAAGAAGACTTCTCTGTGAAAATAAAACCATACCAAAAGATAAATTATCCGTTTTTTCCTTTCCCAGTAAAAACATTGGAAAGACTTAGACTTTTTAAGAAACTGAAGTTAATTATTAATGGGAGTATAAAAACCAACTGGGGCTGAACATGTTGCTTCATGCCTGAATTTTAACACTGAAAAACCTAAGGGAGAAATATCACAAATTTAAAATACGTCTACCCTACATGTGGTAAAACAGTAACCTCTAACAAGTTTCAAATAAACAAAAATGGATAAAGAGAAAACAGACTAGGGAGACAGCTAGTGGATTAAGTGATAGTCACAAGGGCATATTGACCCAAGTCTTTATCCCCAACATTCACTTAAAAGGGCAGGAATGGCAACACATGACTGAAATCCTAGTGTTAGAGTAAGAAGTAAGATTGCTCCAGATCATCCAGAACAGACAGGTTACTCAAATCCGGAAAATAAGTTTAGTGATGGACTATGTCTCAACACAAAAGAAAGAGAACAATCAAGGCAGACATCAGCTGTTGACATGTAGAATTTGACCCTACTGTGTAGCATTTTTCTCCTACATGACACACTCTATCTTGAGACTCTCAAATTCTAAATGGAGTCTCCTTAAGATTCAGAAAATACACAACTCAAAAGTCTCAGGAAGTCCCCATAATGTACTGGATGCATAAGATTTCACCTTCCTTGAGTTTGCATAAAATTTCAGGGAAGTAAAAAGGATTCACAACCCTTTGGAGTTGCCTACAAGTCTTTCTGAGACTTCCAAAGCTCTGTTTATTATTATTATTATTATTATTATTATTGTTGTTGTTGTTGTTGTTGTTACTACTACTATTACTACTACTACCAATCTAGTAGTAGTAATCTAGTAGTAGTAGTAGTAGTAGTAGTATTCAGTTTAAATTTCACTCGTAGTTTTAGAACCTCACTCAACTTCTGGGTTTTGGGATTTCTATTCACCCTGGATTAGACTTTGGTGATCACTTGTCTTTAATTTGTCTCTGCTCCTCTGAGTAATCTCTGATTCATACTCCTGTATGTGACACTGTCACACAATAAACCCATTGGTTTATCAGGTTGGGCTTTGTTGTTACTGTTACTTTGATCTGTCATTGGTTTCCTCTCTGGAGTGACAAGACATCTGTTCAGGTTTCCCAAGGAATAGTGTCACTTCAAACTTCACAAATATTAAAAAAAAATTAAAACTAAATACAGTTGAGGGTGATGACATGTTTTAATACAAGAGCTAATGAGGCTGAGGGAAGAATATTCAGAGTTGGAGGCTAGCCTGGGCTACATAGCAAGTTCAAGGCAAACCTGTAATACATAGTGATATCTCATAGCAAGAAATAATAACAACAAAAATAGAAAACCTTAATATAGTAGGAAAATGGGCTAATGATTTAGGCTTGATGAAAAACATTGTACAAAAGAGCAGAATAATAGTATTTACTACTTGATCTTCATGAATATTCTAACCTGACAAACTGCTAAACTAAAATCAGTGTTAAAAGTATATGAAAAAGAAATAGTAGATGAATCTGTTTAAGATAACATTTCTATCTAGTAGCAAATTAATAAGTAAAACTAATATCACAAGACAAATTTCCAAAGGCTAGAAATATACAGGTTACCTAAATTTTGAAACATATAAATAGATTAAGAATATAAAGAACAACCTCAAAAGACAAATAAAAGTTAACAGACTTGTTCTAGAAATCAAATCTTGCAAGGAGGGAGGCTGGGTGAGGGAAGTGATGTTGAACATTACAGATAAAG